GAATTTGAATAAACCGATAAAATACTGAATATTTATTAAGAATAAAGAAATGAGTGATGAAAAATTATATCCTTTAAATAAACGTAGGAAACACTCACTAAATTTAAAAAAAAAAGGTTGAAACATTGGAGAATATGCTCAATGAAAATCAATAATTCAATCCCTCGAAAAATCACAGAAATAAATATCGAAGAAACAAAATTTCTAAAAGAGAAATATAAAAATATGCTCATACTAGTAAAATCATATGATCACTATCCATCTCTAACCAGGGGCGTCGCTAGGTCGGGTATCACCCGGTGTGAGACCACATCGTGTTACTACCCCTCCCCAAAACAAAATACCTGTATATATATATATATATATATATATATATATATATATATATATATATATATATATATATATATATATATATATATATATATATATATATATATATATATATATATATGTATACAAGGCATACTGCCTAGCTTCGCTTAGGTTTTTAAAAAGCATTTGAGAATTTGAATACTTAATTATTTAACGATGGATTGGGCGTGGAGTGCTTTAATTTATACAGTAATGCTAACTTTAGAAAAAATGTTGTTTGTTGTTTAAATTCCGTTCTCAGAGAAATATTGGAAAGTACGCAATGTATAACTAAAATGGAATTAGAACTACACAGGTTCCATGAACAGTATATCTAACAGTTTATATTACATTGCCTTTTGAAATTTATTTGATTATTTAATTAGGATACGTAACTAAATTAACAACTTAAGTTTGTACTAAAACAAATGCTATACTTCGTCATTTCCTGTTTCTGTTTAAAATAGTATACAATTATTTGAAAAAATAATAATTTTACAAACGTTACCTCCCTTGAAAACTGAACGTATGACGTAGGCTTTGTTTACTTTTTTTTTTAACAAACAGTTGCTATGCTTATATAAGAAATTACGGTATATGAACATATTTAACGACTATAATGGCTGTTTCCGACGGGAATACATTTTTTTGTTACCCTCCAGGGTTGGTCTACGACGTCATATAATATTAAGGGGATCGTTCGTCAATTTATTAATATATATATACCTCATATAAGGAGAACTTCACTCACGATCATCTTTTAGCCCTCGTCGAGGGCTTTGAGTCTGACCAACAGTTTTTCCATACGGCCTAGTAATCTATAGTAGTGTATGCAAAAACATAGCATGATGTACAGACGTTAAGTAACCTAAAAATTGTGTTAAAATTTCCCTGTTTTTGCCATAAAATACAAAGATTATATAGGGAAATACGACTGGTCAGTTTTGACCCACTTCCCGATTTTTCCCAGATATGCCGAATTTTTTGTGACACCCCCACGGTGTTCTCCTACCACCTCACAAAATTTCAAGGGGGGGTCGTCGGAGGAAATTTTTTTCGTAATATAGCTCATATAAAGAGAATTTCACTCGCGGTCACTTTTTAGCCCTCTTCGAGGGCTTTGAATGAAACCGACAGGTCAGCCCAAGCCATTTACCTATAAGCATGCCAAAATTAGCCAGGTGTAAAGAGGGTAAGTGCCCTAAAATCCGTTTTGAAATGACCCTATGTTTTTCCCATAAAATACAAAGATTATATAGGGAAATACGACTGGTCAGTTTTGACCCACTTCCCGATTTTTCCCAGATATGCCGAGTTTTTTGTGACACCCCGCGGTGTTCTCCTACCACCTCACAAAATTTCAAGGGGGGTCGTCGGAGGAAATTTTTTTTTCGTAATATAGCTCATATAAAGAGAATTTCACTCGCTGTCACTTTTTAGCCCTCGTCGAGGGCTTTGAGTCAAACCGACAGTTTTCCCTAAAGGTCAAGCCATTTACCTAAAAGTATGCAAAAAATTAGCCAGATATACTGAGTTTAAGTACCCTAAAATCCGCGTTGAAATGACCCTCTGTTTTTCCCATAAAATACAAAGATTATATAGGGAAATACAACTGGTCAGTTTTGACCCCTTTACGAAGTTTTCCCAGATATGCCGAGTTTTTTGTGACACCCCAAGGCTTTCTCCTACCACCTCACAAAATTTCAAGGGGGGTCGTCGGAGGAAAATTTTTTTCGTAATAGAGCTCATATAAAGAGAATTTCACTGGAGGTCACGTTTTAGCCCTCATCGAGGGCTTTGAGTGAAACCGACATTGTCTTCCCTACGGCCAAGCCATTTACCTATAAACATGCCAAAAATTAGCCAGATGTAAAGAGGGTAAGTGCCGTAAAATCCGTTTTGAAATGACCCTCTGTTTTTCCCATAAAACACAAAGATTATATAGGGAAATACGACTGGTCAGTTTTGACCCCTTTACGAAGTTTTCCCGGACATGGCGAGTTTTTTGTGACACCCCAAGGCGTTCTCCTACCACCTCACAAAATATCAAGGGGGGTCGTCGGAGGAAATTTTTTTTCGTAATATAGCCCATATAAGGCGCCGGTCAGTCGAGGTCAGTTTTGACCCCCTCTCCGTCGACTTTTCG